TGTTGGCAGCCGTGCTCAGAAAATAGCGCCCCATGCAGGGCAGCCGGAAGGCCCCGAACTTCCTAATGACAAATCATCCCACACCACTAAACTACATGCTAATTGCGCCTTGGCATAAGGACCAATGAGACCCACCAAATGGTTATGCTAATAAGGCATATGGAGCCGCACCAACCAGGTCAGAGCATGAGAACTATATAAGCAAGCCTCTCCTTCCCCTCTGGGTCCTGCCCAACTCATTTGTTTCACAAAGAGCTGAAGAATAAAGCTTTCTGCAGAAGAATCCTGCTGTTGTTGCGTGCTGTTCTTGCCGGCGAGGACAGGGCACGCGACAACCTGAAAATTTGCATTTCAAATAAGTTTAGATGATGCTGATGGTCCAAACTTTGAGAACCGCTAGTCTACAGAGAAGCTTGGCCTCAGCTATGAATGGAGATGGTCACATCTTTTGTCTGAAGGAGTCTAATCTGGTTATCACATCCTTGCACAGATTTTCTAGGAGGAGACGGGGCTCACAATCACATCTCTAATTCTGCAATGTTTATTCTCCCATTTGGAAAAAGAGAGATGGGAAAACAAGAAAAATACAGAGAAAGAAGGTGGACAACGCTTGCATAGCCAGAGCCCAGGTAGAAAAATTGCTGGCTGGCTTGTGAGATGACACAAGTAATTGGCAAGAGAATGCAACCACTTCCTGAAGCTTCAGCCTTGCAGAGCCAGCTCCAGGAATTAGCCCCCAGGCAGCAGTTCTTCTGAAACCCAACTAATCCTTAGGCATTTCATTAGTTTGGCTGCCTGCTGGTTGCTCACATCTTGTGACAACCTTGGGCGTAGCTGCAGAGAAGACAGTCTCTTTCTGCCCGGGCTTTCTGGTGTCTCCTGGCGACTCCTAGGCAGCTGGTGGCTGATACGTCATCATGGGCTCACATCCTTCCCCAGTAAGGCAATCTGCTCCTGCAGCTGCCGCTCCCCTTCCCAAGCTTTGCTCTGGCTTCTACACCTCAACAGTTCCGCCTTATGGTCCTGGTGATGCATAGGGCAATAGCTCTGGGGTTCACACAGCTCCTGAAAGGTAGGGGACAGAGTAAGGGATCCTCTAGACTCCTGAGTATAATACAGATGCTGCTGATAGTGGCTATGAAGGAGCAGCAGTTCTTTTCTCAGAGGGCTTTGCAGGCCCTGGGAGTTGCATGCTGAAGTGGGCTTTCCCAAGTCAGCCCTCCACCATTGCCTCACACGCCCCATTCTTTACCAAATATTCTGGAAAGAAGTCTCTGTAGCCCCCTTTGAGGACATACAGTTCTGGGTAGTACAGTGCAGGATACTGGTTCAGAGCCCTGTCCTCTTCTCTCAGGGAGCGGCACCTTTAGAGAAAACCCAGAAATGGGTGGGGAGAGAAGGAGCAAGGTCAGGACTCCATGGGCCATTCACTGGGGAGGGGGAGGAAGAACAGACTACTACAGAGCCCCAGAAGGACCTCCAGATCTGTTTTTGCAAAACAAGGTTTAAGTAGCACCACTCTTTCCCCTTTCCTCTACTGGTGTCTCACTCCCAATACTTACCTTCACTGCTCCAAACTTTTAAAATGCACAAACCCTTTCCTTCTACCTCCCTAACATTCTTCAGACTGCAGTGGAAAGCATTCATTCACTTCAGTCTTTGACTAGACTGGTCTGGGAAGGTTCCCTTTTTGTTAAGTCCCAAGTCAAGGTCCATGTCCATCAGCCGCCCTCCCCATGTAGACACTTACATTCGGGGACCCCTCTCGGAGGAGAATTCACAGTAGAACATGATGATTATTCTTTTCTGAATGTCCAAAGGGGCAATGGGCTTCTTCAGAAAGAAGTTATACAGTTCTTCCTGGCTGTACAAGTTTAAGGCTCCCTGTAGGAGAATTTTAATAAGTATTTCCTTAAGGGCCTGTGGACAGTTCCAATACTTAAAAATAATTGGGATACCATCTTGGGATATGTGGGCCAGGAAAGCTAGACTTTAAGTACTTCCAGGGCAGAGATCTAATGATATCTCCCTATCTACCCCAAGGGCCTGGCATAGACCTTGGTATGTAGTAGGTACTCAATAAAATGTTTGTTTGCCTGAAGTGTAGGAATCATTGAGAGACATGTCTGTAAGTGTTTACAAAGTGCTTCTCAGTCCTTGGATTAGTTTTTACTGCTAGGTAGGAACTCTTGGTTCCAAGAGAAAAGAGGGAGATTGGTCTAGGAGGGAAAGGAAAGGTAAATTGCTCAAGGTATAAAGAATTAGAAGAGAAATGAGGACTTCCAGCCTTCATGTGCTCCAAATGTACAATCCCTGCCCTGGTTCTAGAGTTCATAGGACCCTCTGTCCACAGACTCTTCTCAATAAAAATCTATCTCCAGCCCCTCCCCACTAATTCTGCAATGTAACCTCACCTGAATGTGTCCTCCCAGGTACTCATATGGATAGCGGCAATCAATGATGAAAAACTTCTCAATCAGATCCTGGAACTTTCCTGCCAGTAAGGCAGCCACCTGCATAGAAACTACGATTGAATACCCTGCCCATCACCTGGGACTGTCACACAGTTCCTGATTTACACTCCTTTTAGTCACCTAGGATTCCACTGTACGCTCAGCCTCCAAAGTCCCCCTGTATTTGAAATGTGGCAATGGTTTAGCCCCACCCTACATAAGAGGATAAAATAGGAAATAGTCTTTTCAGAGAACCAAAATAGCTGGCATTGCCAGGACACCAGGGAAAACCATATATATTCAGGCTACTCATCAGAGGCAGGCATGGCTGCAATCAGCATCTCAGCAGATGCCCAAGGACTTCTGCAGTGGTACAGGCAGCAGCTAGGGATTCCGATTTTACAAAAAGAGGTGGAAAATGGTTCTCCACCCTCTATTGTAAGAGAAGAAAGCAAGTCTTCCGGAAAAGGATATGGAAGGAAGGGGTTGATGCCCAGAGGAGGAAATGTAAGCTACTTGTAGGAGTGTTAAATTGGTTCAACCATTCTGGAGGGAACTCTGCAAATACATATAAAAATAAATGTAATTACACTTTGATACAGCAAATTTCTTTTCTAACATCTTAAGTAAAAGGAAAAGCACACAAAGATGTGACACAATAATATTCATCTCATTGTTTTAGGTCATCAAAATGTTATAACTTAAATATCCAATAACAGAGGTTTGGTATTTAAATAATTTATACATGACAGTATAAGAGAATATTACATAGCCATTAAAAGATACTATAGATATCTTTTCATTGCTATAGAAAGATGTTTACAATGTCTTACCAAACTAACTGCAACAGCACATTTCATTACAATCCTGTTTTGTAAAAACATATGCCAGAATAAAATCTGGAAGGCCATAAGGAAAATATTATTACCAGTGGTTATCTCTGGTGGTGAGATTATGGGTAGGGTGACCAAATATTGCACCTAACTGGGATACTTTGAGAGTGAAAGAGAACACTATTAATAACTACTTTGCACATTTAGGCATAAATGGGATTATAACATGTAAACCAGTATGTAACATCATCCTAATTGGGTAATTTTTTTTACCTTTTCCCTTCCTTCCATATAAACAAATGATATATAATTGTTATAAATGAAAGGAAGGAGTTTATAACAATTATATATCATTTGTTTAATTAAAAATAAAGGTGACAGAAAAATGGGGGAAAAGGGACTCCTTTAATACAGCTTCAGTTGAATGGGGAGCCTATGTGGGTGAACACCGCGAAACAAATACAAATGGAAGTGGGAATTTTAGGGAAAGAACAGACCAGATGGCAGCTTATATAACCAGTTACGATCTCCAGAAATCTGCTTACTGTTTCTGGGTTGACGTACTTCAGATCTTGGTGTCTCCCTGACATGGTTGGCAGCACACACACCTAGAAATACCCAAAAGCTGAAATAAGAGCAAGTTTTCTATACCAAAATTTGAGATCGAAGACCCATATGTGGTCTCTATAATGTGCATATACAGCAATTCCATTTCAAGAACTGATCCTAAGGAACTAATTAAGGAGGCATACAAAGTTTTAGATTTAGCTATAAATATGTCCATCTTGGTATAGTTCATAAGGAAAAACTGTAAAAACAAATATCCTACAAGAAGGGATTTATCAAGAATTATGAGTAGTCAAAAAAAGAAATACTGTACTGCTATTAAAAATTATAAAGCAGAACTGTTTATTGACTTTCATGAAAAGGTGTTCCTGATACATTGAAGGAGGGTAAAAAAAATCCAGTGGATCACAAGACAGTATAAATCATTTTTTGTGGAAAAATAAAAAACGTATTTGTATATATGTGCACGTGTTTTTGAAAATATATACAAAAAAGTCTGGAGGAACGTACACCAAGCTGTTAAAAATAATGCTCTGATAAGGTCTGAGGTGGATTTCATCTTCTACCTTTTCTGTGAGGACCAAATACTATTCATATAATTTTCAAAGATCATTTTAAAAAGAAAAAAGTTAAAAGCCTCATACTTTCTCCACTGCTCTGGATTTTCCGAGAATGAATAAGGACAGAAAGGCTTAAGTCCTGGATCTACCACTATAGCACCTTCAGGCTATCAAAGCATATTTGGTGAGGATGCTCAATTATACGTAGAATCCTTTGCAAGCAGAGGAAAGATTCAGCTTCAAAATGACTCACTAAAATATAGGATGGATATAACCACACTCACCTTGGAGAAATCACCAATCAGACGCCCCTGGTTAGCATCTTCCTCCAGCATCTCGGTGATATTAATATCACTGAGAGAGATGGTTTTCCTTAGATAAAAGCCCTGAAGGTGACAAGATCCCCCACCCCCAATTCTCATGTTAAAAGTGTAAAAACCAGAGGATGGAGGAATGGAGACTCATTAATAATAAGCATGCCCTTTGACCTAATAATTCCACTTGTTTTACTATGGAAATAAATAAATACTTACTGCACAAAGATTTGGTAGTAAGGATGGATGGCTCAGTATGTTTATAGGAGAAAAGAATGTTCAATAACAGGCTCTTGGTAAAACAAATAATATTCCACACATTATAGATTAATATTATGCAATAAAAGTATGTTTTAAACTAATTTCATTGACATGAAAATAAGTTCGTGATATCCTTATATAGGTTAGAAAATATATACTTTGTAATATTACTTTAACAAAAGAAAAAAACATTTGCATAGAAAAGTGTGTTGAAGAACATACGATACCAGTGTTGACAGTAATTATCTCTGGTTTATGGGATTACAGGCATTTTGCAACAACTTCTTTTTGCTGATTTGTATTTTCTATATCATACAAAACAGCCAAATACATATAATTTTTTTTTAAGGTAGGGTAGGGGATAAGGGCTAAGTTTTTCAGAAGTTGCTTTCCACCCAGGCAGTGTGGTGTTGTTTCTGTCAGTACGCAGGTAAAACAGCAGTTGGTATCCTACTAATCAAAGTTCCCTTGTACTCTTTCAGATGTTAAAAAAGAGGTTTGGAAAGACTGTGATGATATCATTTGCAAAAGCATAATGTAACATAGATAGTCACTGTTAAGTATTTTATATAGGGATGCAGATGAAGAAAACACAAGAGGAAAGATGGAAAGAACAAAAAGATAAAAGTAAAAGTAAAGAGGAAGACAAAAAATATGTATATACTAAAGCAGTCCCCACACCAGAAGAGCAGTGAAGACAATGAGATGTAGATTAAACAGATTCACATCTTGAAAAGCTCTTACTTTCCTGAGCTCTTTGTGGCTAGAACGATACTTCTTTTTCACTTTATCCGGTACTGGGTTGTGCTTGAATTGTACCACTTGCGTCAGTCTTGGCCTGTTCAAACTCTCCGGCAACGAAGGGGAGCGATACAGGCTGCCTTTGTTCAGAGATGCCTGTTTGGGAATATCAAACCCCAAGTGTGTCTGCAGGCAAGCAGCAGGAACATCTCCCAGGAGCTTGTTAGAAATGTTGAATCCTGGATGTTAGGCCTTACCCCAGACCTACCGAATTAACATCTGCATTTTAACAATATGCCCAGGTGATTCTAGGAACACTCAAGTGTGAGAAGCAATGCCCTAGGCGAGCAAACTGTCTTCCCTTCCTCATTAACATTTTTCTCCTCAGAAGCATGATGTTCTAACTTTCCCAGACGTTGACACTCCAGCCAAACCAAATTCTCCACCTTACCTTATGTGTACCAACTCCTGTAGTAGAAAGCAAATACGAGCTCAGTTCTTCCAGTCCTAAGTGATTAAAAAAAACAAGCCTGATCCCATAGTTTCCCTATGAAATCCTAAGACCCTGATAATCAAGATTTAAGGTCCCCCCAAAAAATGAAGTTGATGAGCCCAAGAGTTACTCTGGGTGAAAAATACTAATTAGCAAGAGTATATGTCACTTTTTTGGGAGCAGTTTCTTTGAGTGAGAGAGAAAAAATATCATTCAGTCTTCTTATGAAGGGGGTTGTTAACAGGAAAGAAAAAAATAGCAAAACAAGCATTATGCAAGGAAAAAGAAAACATCAGAATCTAATATCAGGATGACTGTTAAAGGACTGATACTGTGAGGCCCATGAGGAAGAAAAATTGATTAAATACCAAAAGAATTACCCCTGGGAGTTGCTGGCCGAAGACTAGGCTAAAGTATGAGGATGGACTTGTCTCTTTGAAAGGAATGATTTGAGTGTTTTACCCAGAAGCAAGGGGATACACTAAAGGACCCCTGAGAACAACTTCCAACTAATCCAAGTTTCTTATCCTCTCTAGCCAGATACCTTTTACCTCCGGCCTAGATAAAAAGCAAAAGTTCCTTCTCTACACACTCACCTCACTAACTGCTATGAGTTAACTTAGAAGGGGGGTAGACAATAAGAGCCATAACTGGAAGACAGGTTGACAGTCAATGGTTTCTGTGAGAATAAAATAAGGATGCCAATATTTTACTTTATAACAACTATACCTACTATAATGCTTGTCACATCCATGGTCCCATCTGAGGGAAACTCCATTGTTCAAAGTACTAGCAGCAGGTACAGTTCACGTTTTATATACTAATACTCTGTACCTGCCTTTTCCCTTGGAACCCTGCCAGTCACCTCCCTGTCCCCATAATCCTACCCCAAGTCACTGATGACTTGCCCACACTGCTGGTTCACATACCTATTTAGTGGCATAGAGTAAAAGTAAACTGGGCCAATCAGGTCCACTCTCCTGGGAGTCTAACTTGGAAAATGGCAAAATAATTAGGCAGCAGCAGAAGCCAAAGATTAAAGGAAGAAGCCAAGGGATACAGTCAAGGCCATGAGGCCAGTGATGAATGGATGGATGAACCAAAGGTACAGTAGTAGAGGATGTGTGGCCAAGGATTGAGGAGCAGGCTACCTACCCTCCATGATAGACTACCCTTCATATAACTTCAATTTTGCCCTGAGAAGAAGTCAAGAGCAAGCCAGATCAGAATCTCCAGTGTGCTGGCCTTAGTGCAATCTTTGTTTATTTTCGCCAAAAGAGCCTCTCTGGAACACATCAGTTATTAAGCTAAGTGTTCCTCTGAAAGAGCTTGGAATTAATTAGCTACTAAGTGAAACATTCATTTTTTTAGTATTATAACTAAGAAATATTTGTGTAACCCAAGGTTACAGAAATTTTCTCCTGTGTTTTTTCTTCAGATGTTTTGTAGTTTTCAGTTTTATATTTAGACCTATGATCCATTTTGTGCTAGTTTCTATATATGGTGTGAAATATGGGCTGAGGTTTTTGGTTTTGTTTTTCATATGTATTTTCAATTGTTCCAGCATAATTTGTTGAAAAGATTATGTTTTCTCCATTTAATTGTTCTTGTATCTTGGTCCAATCATCAAGTGACCATATATGCCTGGTTCTGGTTCTAGTTCTCAAATCTCTATTCTGTTGCACTGATGCATTAGGCTTTTGGTAGCTATTATGATGGTGATAAAGAATGTGATGAACATCTTTTTGGGTTTCACGTAGTCCAAGGACAAGAAGCTAGAAATAAATGATAGGAGAAAACTATCTTAATCAATAGACATAACCACTACTACTCTGACAAATTCTTCCCCATAGATTTATATAAAAACAAATGTCAACTTATAGCAAAGAATATAAATACTAGTAAATGGAGGGATGATAATGATGATACTTCAGCTTTGTCTAGCTAGTCAGAAGTTTCACAGATCCCAGAAGCTGCTCTTGAGAGATCCCAGGACCAACTGGCTTTTATGCACTGAACATTAGTCATTTTCATTCTTTAATAAATAACTGAAAACACTGAGAAGGGATTAGTGGTTACCAAAGGGGAAGGGTTGGGGAAGGTGGGTGGGGAGGGAGAAGAGGATTAAGGGGCACTATAATTCACAAGCACAACATAGGTAGGTCACTGGGACGATAGCACAGCACAGAGAAGACAATTAATGACTCTCCAGCATCTTACTACGTTGATAGACAGTGACTGCAGTGGAGTGGGTGAGGGCTTAATAATATGGGGGAATGGCGAACTACTGTTTTGTGTATGTGAAACTGTCATAAGATTGTCTACAAATGGGATTGGTTAAAGATGGTGGTGTGAGAGGTGAGACAGAAACCGCCTCCCAAAACACATATAATATGAAAATACAGCAAATACAACTAATCCTGAAAGAGCAACAGGAAAGAAGGCTGGAACAGACTGCCTACATCTGGAGAAAAGAACAGGCCCCACGGAAAAGGGTAAAGTACCAAAGCCACGACCCAGTGAGACCCAACACTTCCACCACCCCAGCTGACCAGCAGGAGGAAGAGAAATGAAGCGGGGAGGACGTGGAGGCCTAGGATTGCTGAACACCCAGCACTGGAGATATGCTCTGGGGGCACAAACCTACTTTACATGGTGCTCTGGAGATTAGTAGGGTTGGAAACCTAAGACAGGCAGAATACTTGGAGAGACTGAGATTCCAGCTGCTTGTGGAGAACAGGCACCCACAACTGGCTGTTCTGGGATAAAAGAAAGGCAGGCGCTCTGAGAGACCTCCCAACAGTGAGAGGGCTGCCAAAGAGGCAAGGATTGCTCAGAGCTTGCTGCTCAGGAAAAAGTACAGGTGGACAAAATTGTCCAGGTGCACTCAGCCCAGCAGGTTGGTGACTTTCAGGAGCTTCAGGAGTTCCATCCGCTAGGCTGGCAACGCAGTTCTGAGGCTCCCACCATGATATACAGCCTGCCACTCCTTACTCCCAGCATAGGCTTACAAATCTGCTGCTCCCACCATTGCGCCAGGCCAGCTAGAGGGCGGCCATGCCTACGGCACCTACAAGGGCAGAGCACAGAGACCCCTCCCTGCACGCTCAGCCCACTGGCACCAGCAATGGAGGCAGGCAGTACAGTCAAGAAGCAGGAAAGAGCTCTTTCCTCCTGACAGGCACCAGTGCGGCACACCTGTAACACCCACCATTGCTCCAGGGGCTGAGCAGCTCCAGAGAGTAGAGATTCTGAGCACTAGAGGGTGCCACCTACACCAAGATATTAAAAATATGAAACACCAAAAGAACCTGATACAAACCAAAATCCCAAACAACAGAAGAGAGCCAAGTGAAACTGAACTTACCAATCTTCCTGAAGATTTCAAAATAAAAATCATAAACATGCTCATGGAGCTACAGAAAAATAGTCAAGGCCTCAGAGAGAAATTCAAGAAAGAAATAGAAACTTTGAAAAATACAGTATCTGAAATGAAACGTACAATGGAGGGATTTAAAAGCAGAATAGATGAAGTAGAGAGAGTAAATGAAACAGAAACTAGAGAACAAGATTACAAAGAAGCTGAGGTAAAGAGAGAAAAAAGGATCTCTAGGAATTAAAGACTACTAAGAGAACTGTGGAACCAATCCAAACAGAACAATATTTGCATTACAGGGGTACCAGAAGAAGAAGAGAGAGAAAAGGGGATAGAAAGTGTCTTTGAGGAGGTAATTGCTGAAAACTTTCCTGATCTGGGGAAGGAAATAGTCTCTCAGGCTACAGAGGTGCACAGATCTCCCAATACAAGGGACCCAAGGAAGACAACACCAACACATATAATAATTAAAATGGCAAAGATCAAGAATAAGGACAGAGTATTAAAAGCAGCCAGAGAGAGAAAAAAGATCATATACAAAGAAAAACCCATCAGGCTATCATCAGACTTCTCAAGAGAAACCTTACAGGACAGAAGGAAATAGCATAAT